CCCAAAACCCCAAAACCCCAAAACCCCAAAACCCCAAAACCCCAAAACCCCACAAAGATAACTTCTTATTGGTTAATTATTTTAAATCGAAATTAAGGTACTGCAAAAACAAAATAAGAATATAAACAAAGTCAGGATCTAGAGTAAGAGCTGTATGTGATTACTTTTCTACAACTTTTACCTGCTAATGTGGCATCATTGGGTATCCTCTACAATTCAGAGGAAACCAAAAGGCCCAAAGTACATTGCTTTATCTCTTAATGATAGGCTTATTCTGGAAAGCAAACGAACTAAATTCAGACAATTCTGCCAGCCACGCAGATTTAGAAGGGCCTTTAGTTGGAGAGGTCACACCAGTCTAAAAATTGCTATACCAACTATAAATTTTAAAAATCCCGAGTACTAACAAGGAGTAACATAGATAGCTCCTAAATTATCGGAGCCTAACCTCAAAACTAAAAGTCTTTTCCTAATTTTAAAATGTTCGAAATTTTTATTGAATCAAGTTAAGGATACTACAGATCGGAGTGGTCTCTAGGGATTTTGGAATTTCGAATAGTTTTTTGGAGTCTTCTGGAGTTAATTCTGGGAATTTTCTCATGTACCTTATTGTAATTCATTGTGGCCTCGAGCCACTGCTGTTCATTTGCGTGTTTACTTGATCTTCATGTCTGAGAGCAGACTCCTTTCTTTCTTCAACTCTTCTCGAAATGGTATAATGCTGTTGTAAAAGCTCTAGCTTTGAATAATGCTCCTGAGACTTCTTTCCTCAAACTTTAGAAGATTAGGACTTTTTAAGAAGATAAGCTACACTTCTTCCTCCTATATCAAAAATAATACAAAATAATAGAAGTACCTTTTTATAGAACAAGCCTATGAGAACAGATTAAGAAGACCTAGGTGAATCTCTACCATCTCATTTTGACTGTAGACAGCTTTAGACCCTCTTGCTTTCCTTGACTTCTTGAGGAGGTTTTTGCACCTATTGTTTCTTAGTATTCCAAGAATAGATTACATAAATGCTTTACCTGTAGTCTCTTCCTGCCCCATATCAGGAAAATAGTCTACCAGCTCTGGTATATCTTTGACAAAGTTCCATACTGGCTCAACAGATAGTTTTCTATACCTAGAATATGAATCAAGGTGGTCTCTTTAATTTTATAAGCTTATAATGTTTGTTAGAAACTTACTATCTTCCTTTTAGCCACAAGGTCCTTGATAAAAGAGATTGGCCATCATTCGTATTTTAGGAGATGCATCTCACTAGATCATATAAACTATCAGCTCTACAATTATGAACCAATGTATGGTATAAATCTCTTTTCTCCCAAACTTTTAGGCCAAGCCTTCAGACACAAAATATTATTTATCACAATGGTTTAAGACTATTAGAGAAATTGTGTTTGTTTTATATTGTATCTAGGATCTACAAACTTCAGATTCTTTCGAATTTTCTAGGGTTTGCTTAAACTAGTTTCTCTAAAGTTCATGGGATTTTTATGAAAAGCAATTTTTTATAATTCTAAAAGGCGATTATTCAGAATTGAGAGAGAAAATTGATTTAGATCTTGAATTTTCAAAGTTACTCACCTTTGAAGTCGCTCTTTTCTGTTAAATCAATAAAATTCCGATAATCATTCTGGTTAATCTCGCCCACTATGTGATTTATGGCAGATGGTGTCTATTGCTTATTTTTTCCATTTTGATTTCAATTTAGATTTTATTATTTGGGGTTTTGGGGTTTTGGGGTTTTGGGG